AGTGGGCCCGGAGCTGCTGGTGACAGATGGGTGGACACAAAGAGCAGAGCTGCGGGGAAGACAGATGGATGGGGGAGGGAGGAGGGGAGGCTGGAGGGGCAGTGGTTGGAGGCCTTAATGAGATTGGGGCTGGGCTGGGGCTGCGGAGAGGTGAGCGAAGAGGAGAGAAGAAAGCCGAGGCCGCCCGGGAGGACAAAGGCAGAGAGGCCCGGGGCCCGGGGCGGGAGAGGGCCCGGCCGGCCGCTGGAGAGGGGGGCTTCCAGCCGGGCTGGCAGCGAAGGGGGTGACAGATTGCGTGGTTCACCAGAGTGGAGACCCGCTGTCACCTTCTAGAGGCACCGAGAGGGGAGATGGAGAAAGACCGACTGACAGAGCCAGCGTGGGAGCAGACAAGGAGGTGGAGGAGGGCCAAGGCTTCCCAGCCACACCGAGGCCCCGGCCCAGGCTCCTCCTGCGGGCCTTGCTCCCGTGAGCCAGGACTCGAACCAGTCTCTCCCCGCATAACAGCCCAGCCGGGGCCACTCCCGGGAAAGGGTCAGGCAGCGTGGCACCGCGAGGGTTAACGCCGTCTGCTCTCCCTGCCAGCGCTCGCCTGGTTGGGTCCCCAGGGCTCCCCACATATGTCACCCCCTCTCCTGCCAAACCCACTGCCTCCCAGCTCCTCCAGGCCTCCCCCCACCCTCAAGGACTGGGCCCCGGCCCCTGTGTCCTCCCCACACTCCAACTTCCACCCCAGCAATCCACCTGGAAGGCTGTGTAGACATGAAAACATGGTGACAATCTGAGAAAGTGAACACCTATAACACACAAACTAATGACAACAAGCCATAGGGCCATGCTCATCCCCCTTCCTGCCCTTCCTGCCCTCCCTGTGGCAGAGACCTTCACCCAGCTGGGGGGGGGGGTCTCCTGCCCCCTCAGGCCGGGGCTGCGGGCAGCCTGGGCTGACCTCAGAGCTCTCCCTGCTCCCTCAACCATAATGCTTCAAATACATGCATGCATGAAGGTCTTGCCACCTTCAAATCACCGTGCACAAATTCAAGGCATGGGGCAAGCACTCGGCCTCGCGCTCCCCCACGCATTGTGTGACAAGTGCCCTGTGAGGAAGGCAGCAGGATCCCCATTTCACAGAGGACAAAATAGCCTCAGTCAAGATTAATGACCTGGCCAAGGTCACTGGGACTTGGTCGACGGGCTCCCGGTTCAGTGGAATTACTCATTCTTTCTGATACGCCATGCTTTTGGCTCCTCTTTATCACAGGCTTGTGTTCTTGGCTACTCCCCTGAAGAAAAAAAATTGAATCCCTGAGTGAAGATTGGGGCCGGGGGCCCCAGAGTCCAGGGTCCCAGGTGAAAGATGCAGAGGAGAAGGAGGTCCTAGGGCAGCCTCTCAGCCCCCTCACCATCAAACCCCAGTTTGTGGGGACAGCTGGGGCTGGGTACACCAAGGATGGCATCAGAGGCCTGAATTCTCAGAGCCAAACAACCTACAAGGAGAGAAGCTGAGGACAGGGACCCCATTCCTCCCTGCCTTCCCACCCCACCCCCAGCATGCGGTGCCTCTGCTTCTGGGGTCTCTCTAGGTTCTGCTTCTGTTTCCCTCGACATCTCCCCCTGTGGGATCCGGGCCTCCCGGCTTCAGTCACAGTCCCTCATCCCTAGAGTTCTATGAATCTGGTCTCCCCGTCCCTGGCGCCCTGCCTCCTCCACGTCTGTGTCTCCACCCTGTCTTGGGGCCTCCCCCAGGGCTCTCCAGTACCACGCAGTATCATCGCAGAATTCCCGTGTATCTCCGGTCTGTGTGTCTCCCCCCACCCCCCGACCTTGCATCTCTGAGTCTCCGCAGAGCCTCCCCATCCTGGCAGTTCCTCTCTGGTGTCTCTCATCTCTCTGTGTCCCCCGCACGTCCATCTCCCCGTGCCTGCCCCATGTCTGTTACCCACCGACAGTGTGCTCGCTGTCCCCACATCTCCCCCTGGCTCCCCTTCCTCTTCAGCCCCCGTTGGTGGGCATCTCTCCTCTCCCCACGGCACTCTCTCCTGGGTCTCTCTGTCTCCCAGTTTCTTGGACAGGGTGGAGGGCAGGAGGGTGGGGGAGGTAGCGTTGCTGTTGCTGGGGGCTCATTAGGTGGAGATTGGTTTTTAATCAGCACCATGGCAATGATGATGCAAGAACTAAGACGCCACCTGATCCCCTGCCCCCAGCCCCCCTCCTCAAGCCTCCTTTCCCCTCCAGCTCAGCCCATCTGCTGGCGCCCGGGCACCTGTCTGGGCCTGCCCAGGTGGGAGTTGGCACCTCCCAGACCTGGGGGTGAGGAGTGGTGGGGAGCTTGGGGAGGGATTATAGGACTCCCCTTAGGGAATGCCTCACCCTGGAGAAAGCCCAGAAAAAGGTCGATCCGGCACCAGGGAAACGGCAAATGCCTCCAACAACCTGCAGGTGGGGTGTGCTCCTTCTAAGGTCTGGGCCCTTTATGCAATAGCTCAATCTCCATGGCAACCTAAGAAGCAGTTATAATGAACCCCATTTTACAGAAAAGGACAGTGGAGGCTCAAGAGGTTAAGTGACTTGTCCGAGGTCACACAGCCGCCAGGGCTTTCTTCACCGCAGCACCCTGTCTCTGCAGGGCTCCCGGCCACGGTTCATTCCGGATACTCGCAAAGGCTCCTTGAAGATACCCAACAGCTGGCTGGACGAGAGGACTAGACACACAAACCCAGCCCACATCCTCTCTGTGCTTCCCTTGGTCCCGGCCCCTGCCACCCTGCACGCACGCACACACACACGCGTGCACATGCACACGCACCCTCGGGCTGGAGGCAGCTGAGCTGCCCCTGTGAACTTAATCAATGCCTGTTTGCATGTAGTTCTGTATCTGGTTTTCTCACTGCTCATTTGCTGCCCCGGCACACTCCCAGCTGCCCAGGCTGCCCTGCCTTCTCCCGCGTCCTTCCTCTGCCTTTAGCCCTTCCTTTCCTCCCAAGGGCCCCTAATTCCCAGTGGGTCAGCCTAGAGAAATTCCTCGTGGGCTCTGTGTCAGGAATCTGACCCCACTCCTCCTGGTGACGGGGTAGGTGGGAAGACGAGGGCTGGGATAGAAGCTGTGGGGTGACTGAGTCCCAGGGTGACGAGGGGCAGGGGCCTGAACAAGAGCCACAGACAGCCTGCCAAGGGGTCCGCTCGGCTGCAGCTTCATGAAGGATGAGAGCTTGCGGACGGCAAGGACTCTACTCTGGGATCCTCTTCCGCGTTTTAGCGCTGTCCACTTGCACTTTTCTAGATTTCCCTGTTAGTACCTCGGAGAGCTTTCTTCCCGGGAGAAAAGACACAGGGAAGGGGCCGTCAAAGTCACACCGGGACTCGGAATAGGACCATGGCACTTAAACCTGGCATGCTGGGGGCCCCTGTCCCTGCTGCCCCTGGTGTGGAAGACTGAGGGGTTCATCTGTGATCCTGCCCTGGCTCTCGCCCCAGCCCCACCCCTTCCCGCGGCTCTCCATTTCTTGCTTATGAAATATGCATGGAGAACAGATGTCCCTGCTCCCCTACTCCCTGCCCCCCCCAGGGCCAGCCCCCACCCCCAGCTCCCAGGAGGTGGGGTGGGGGGGTGTTCCCAGTTCCCTCTGCCAATGGCTGCCTGGCCTGGCTGTTTAATATTGATGAGGGGGGGGCCTGGGCCAGCCAATGGAGAGCTGGGGGTGTGTGTGTGTATCTCCATATATACACAGGGCTGGGCCCGCTCAGGTGTGTATGTGTCTGTGGGGGTGTGTGTATATGTGTGTGCGTGCGTGCCGCTGGCCCCCGTACCTGGCCAAACCCACCCCCTCCACCTGGGCCCTATACCCTCACCATGTGTACCCCTCTCATCAGCCCTGGAGCCGGGGCAGCCACGCCACACTGCTGTTCCCGAGAGCTCTAGAAAGCTGGTCCCTAACTTTGCAGACGGATGAGCTCTGAGCAGCCAGAGGAGACTGGGGCTGTCAACGCGGCCCCCTGTCCTGCCAGCGTGGATCCCCTCACAGGGTCTTCCTAGGTAAAGGGAGAACTGTGGGCTGGGGAGGGGTGGGTGTGTCCCTTGCACTCTGGCTCAGGTCCCCTCCCTGAGCCTCCCTCTAGATCCTCTCTCCTGTGTCCCTGCACTTCCCTCTTCCCCACTCCTCCCCTTGGACTCTTTGTGCCTGTCTGTTCTCCATCGGGTTGAGCATGGCGGAAGTGGGGCTGGAGGTCCTACCCCCGATGCTTGGGATTGCTGTTCTCCCTCATCCTTGGAGCCTGGAACTTTGGGACCAGAAGTGGATTGGGGGTGAGGACTGCATGGGTAAATAGAAGCTGCTGCCAGGACCGGAGCTGGGGTGGACGGCGGGGCCCGGTGGAGGTGGGACAGGGGTCAGATTGGGAGCACATGGAGGGGAGGGGTGGGGAGGGCATGGCAGAGCGGTCAAGGGTGAAGGAACACGGGCACGGGGCAGAGGGAGAACGGGCTGATAGATGTGCTCGGAGGAACACGCAGCTGAACTCTTGAAGCCCAGGGGCAGTAACCAGGTCCTGGAAGGTGCAGACTTTGGGGCCTCCCACCCTGTTGACACCCCTCTTGTCCCTTTGGAGCCCGGAACGTGGAGCGTGTTTTGAATTTCAGCACTGACCACCTTCTGTTTTGTGTGATGGTTGTGCGTGTGTGTCTGTTAGATGTGGAGACCCTTGCACCCGCCAACCCCCAGCAATTAGTAACTATTTGTCAACTATTCCTGAGCCTGGCTTCTCTGCAGTGGGGTGGGGCAAGGTGGGGGGTCGTGACCCCTGGGAGGAGGGCCCTCAGGCAGGAGAACCAGGCTGGTGAGGAAGGGAAGGAGCCTCGGCGTTTCTGTTTCGGGCAGCTCGGTCCCACTGAGCTCCCAGTGAGTGGTGCCCTCTTCCCCCTAACACTCCTCCGAAGCAAAGCCTTCCCAGACCTTTCCCTGCTGCCTCACCCTGACCTCCTCTGGTCCCAGGGACAAGCCAACCTTAGCCAAGTCCCATAATGGTGTCCCCAAGAAGCTGTCCACGTCCCTTTCCCTGCAGGCCATATCTGAGCGGATGGGGGGTTGGGGGAGTACCCCGAGTGGGAAGCTGATGATGATCTCTGTCCCTCTTCTTCTTTGTGGAGCCACCAAAAGCACCAGGGAATGGCGCCCCACGGCTGAGGGTGTTGGGGACAGAGTTAGAGGAAGGCGCTGGTCCTGAGGAGGGTCATCATGGCCAGAAGAGATACCGTCCCCTGACTCTAGTGGACAGGGTGGTAGGATCAGGTGTCTGCAGTGGTCATGTTGGGGGGTGGGGGGCCGGCAGGGACTGAGCCGGGGCAGCTGTGCTGAGCTCCATATGTCCCAGTCCACTCTACAATGGGCAAGCTGCGTGTTTATCCCCTCCCCCCCCCCCCCAGAGAGGCAGCAAGGCTGGAGAGAGGCCCTGAGAGGGAGGAAAGGGCAAGGCCAAGGCTTATAGCTCTCCCATCACAACTGGGGAAGGTTTCGAGGCACGGCCAACCTCTCTTGAAATTGTGACTGCAGTCTTGCTCAGTGTTCTTTTTCTTTCTATTACTACAGGATATTTTTATTATGGTTAAAAAAACACGAACATAAAATTTACCATTTTAAGCACACGGTTCAGTAGTGTTAAGTATGTTCACACGGTGGTGCAACAGATTTGCAGAACTTTTTCATCTTTCAAATCTGAAACTCTACACCCTTTGAACAACACTTCCCCCTTCCCCCCACTTCCCCCAACTGCCATTGTACTTTCTGTTTCTCTCAAGTTGACTGCTTAGATCCCTCATATAAGTGGGATCATACAGTATCAGTCTTTTTGTGACAGGCTTATTTCATGTAGTGTAATGTCCTCAAGTTTCATCCCTGCTGCAGCACATGGTAAGATTTCCTTCCTTTTTAAGGCTGAATAATATTCCACTGACTGTATATGCCACATCTTTATCCAGCCATCTGTCGATGGACGTCTGGCTTCTGTCCGTATCTTCTTTATTCTGACTAGGGCTACAGTGAACATGGAAGTGCAGATATCTCTTTGAGATCCTGATTTCCATTTTTGGGGGATACCATCCAGAAGTGGGACTGCTAGATCAGCTGGTCGTTCTATTTTTAAATTGGGGGGGACCTCCATTAGGTTTTCCATAGTGACTGCACCATTTTGCAATTCCACCAACACACCAACATGGCACAAGGGACTCACTTTCTCCACATCCTCACCAACACCTGTTATTTGATGTTGTTTTTGTTTTGACAGTAGCCATCCTCACGGGGGTGAGGTTTTAGCTCATTGTGGTTTTGATTTGCTTTTCTCTGATGATGAGTGATGTGGGGCATCTCTTCATGCCTGCTGGCCATCTGTGTATCATCTTTGGAGAAATGTCTGTTCAAGTTCTTGGCCCATTTTTTAATTGAGGGATCTGATGTTTTGTTGTTGTCGGGGTTCTGTATAATATTCTGGATATTCACCCCTCATCAGGTATATGATTTGCATGTATTTTCTCCCGCAGCTTGCCTTTTCACTCTTCTGATTGTGGCCTTTGACTTAAAAAGTTTTCAAGTTCAACATAGTCCCATTTGTCCTTTTTTGCTTTGTTGCCTTCCTTTTGGCATCATATCCAAGAAATCACTGACTGCCAAGTCCAATGTCATGAAGATTTCCCCTGTGTTTTCCTCTAGGAGCTGTCTCGTTTTAGGTCTTTAATCCTCCTGCTGGGTTATGTCCTCCCCCCCACCCGCCCCCACACCGTCTCACCTCTCCTCCTTTCCTGATGCTCCCTTCCGGATTCTCTTCTTACCATCTTTCCTCCTACTCCTGTACGCCTGTCCACCTGCCTGTCTCTCCCAGACCGCCACCCCTCCCCATGTTTCTGTTCTCCCCCCGCAAGTACCTCCCTGCTCCCAACGCATCTCCGACCTTCCTCTTGCCCTCCCCATCTCCGAGCTGTCCCCTAATTCCGCCCTCCGCCCCAATCAATTTCTTCTTCTCTCCTCCAGGCTCGGCACTGGAACCCTGACCATGGGACCTTGAAGTGGCTCTGACCTCCTCAGCTCAGTGGCAGACCCCACTCCCCCAGGCCCTTCCTGCCCCTCCCACAAACAGCTTGCAGGCTCCCAGAGGGAGGGGTGGGGAGGAGATCCTGATCTCGCAGGGCAGGGGGCTTCCATCATGATGCTCAACTCAGACACGGTGGAGCTGGACCTGCCTCCCACCCACTCCGAGACCGAGTCAGGCTTCAGCGACTGCGGGGGCGGGGCGGGCCCCGATGGGGCTGGGCCTGGGGGTCCCGGAGGGGGCCAGGCCCGGGGCCTGGAGCCCGGAGAGCCCGGCCGGAAAGACCTGCAGCACCTGAGCCGGGAGGAGCGGCGGCGCCGGCGCCGGGCCACGGCCAAATACCGCACGGCCCACGCCACGCGGGAGCGAATCCGCGTGGAAGCCTTCAACCTGGCCTTCGCCGAGCTGCGCAAGCTGCTGCCCACGCTGCCCCCCGACAAGAAGCTGTCCAAGATCGAGATCCTGCGCCTGGCCATCTGCTACATCTCCTACCTGAACCACGTGCTGGACGTCTGACGGGGCCTGCCTCCGGCCTCGCGGGAGTCCGCAGGCCCCTCTCCCCCGCCCCTGCACCCCGGCACGGAGTCCCGCAGGCCCCGGGGCACAGGCAGGGTGCCCCCCGCAGGTGCCTGCTGGCTGGCGGCTAGCGGGAGCCAGACCTCCTCTTACCGACCCCAGGGCCCCCCCTAAGGGCGAATCTCATGTACCTCCCACCGTTTGTGGTTGGGGCCCAGCTGGTCAGAAACGTTTGCCTGGGTGGTCGGTGTACAGTTCTTGCGGGGGTTCCTAAGAGGCCCCCCTAGCTCTCTCAAGGGCTGCTGCCTCTTCTATCCCCACGACCAAATTTTCGGAGACCCCAGATTCTGTGTCTGTCTCCCAGCCTCTTTCCAGCTTCTGCTGCCCGGGAGGGAGGCGGCATCGGCAGGGGAAGGGGGAAGCCTGGGCTCCGAGTGCAAGGGGGGCTTCTTCTCAGACATCTCAGCCCAGCGCTGGTGGCCCGAGGGCCAGGCACGGCCAGGCAGGGGGCTCCCGAGACAGCTCCTGCCAGGGCAGTCGTAGCAGCGGGAATCGCAGAAAAACGCTGTTTTCTCTCGTTCCTGAGGCTCAGCACAGACAGACCTCGATCTTACTTGGTAGTGAGTGCCTTGCCCTCTCTAAGCTCCCTGCCCCCTCCCACCCAGCATCCCAATTTTCTCCCTCCCTGTGTACAGCTGTTGAAAGGGTAATCGATCTAGATCCTGGAGGAGGGGATGATGGCCCCAGACCCAGCCCAGAGAATCAGCAGAGGGCCCAGGCAGTGGGTGAGCCAGATCGCACATCTGCTTCCTCCATCCCAGCCCACTGGGAAAATGTGCAAAACCCACCCGCCTTCCTCCCTCAGATGCGGGGGGGGAGGGGGAGGCTCTATTCCTGCCCTCTGGGAATGCTCAGCTCTTTGGGACCTAGGGCCAGTTCATTATAGATAGATTTTTTTCTCCTTCCTTAAGCTTGGCTTCAGCAAGGGAAGACACCCCCCCCACCCCACTCCCCACTCCCAGGCTCTCTGCACTTCCCCGCCATATGTTGCTTAGCCCCCTCTGCTCACGGCAGCCCAGGGTCAGCAGTGGAATGAAGGGCCAGAGGGCAGGTGCAGAAGAAGTGAGCTCACGGTCCTTCCCATGCTCCCTCCTCCCCGACACCAGACTCCGCGCTCTACAAGGATATTATTTATTTACGTATTTATTTATTTATTCATCTATTTATTTACTTATTTATTTATAAATATTACTATTTATTGCCGAGTTGTGCACTTTGGGGTAGAGCGAGGGGGCTCCTGGCAGTCCTAGCTGGGTCTCTCTTGCTTCCTCCCCGGTTACTCTTTTCCCTTTCTTACTCCTTCTGCAAGCTCCAGGTGTGTGGGGGAGATCCTCTCTGCTCACCACACCCATATCCCTTCCTCAGATCCATCTGTCCGGACACCCAGTCCTCTGGGATGGTGCCCTTCCCCCAGCTCCAGGGCTCCTGGACCCTTCCGTAGCTCTCTCCACCCCCAGACAGTCGCACCCCAGTCCTGCCTGCCTCTTTTCTCTCTCTAGCCCTCTCCCATGACCTCTCACTTCTTCCTGATGGCCCCAACAGCAGGCCCCCGCCCCGGGGTCTGTGTCCTGTGTCCTGTGTGTGATCCCCTCCCATTGCAGTTCCAATTTCATACGAAAAGAAAAATTAAAGTGACCTCGTTCTAGCACCAGGTATGGCTGTGGATCATTCGGTTGGGCTTAGCAGCTGGCCTAGGCATGGAGGGTCCTAGGCTTTGAAGGCTCTTCTGATGGGGCTTTGAGAGCTCAGTGTGGTGGGTACACAGAGAGAGGGAGGGGCCACAGGGCAAAGAGGTGCAGGGAAGGGTGTAACACACAGGTCCCAGACCTGCCCACCGAGAGTCCCATGTACCTCCATCTTGGTATTCATTGAGCGACACTTTCTGACCCCTCTGGTATTGTGCTTCTGCTCTGCTCTCTCTGGGCCTGAGGATGAGCTTGAGTTCCCAGGGGAACCCAAGTAACACATGTGTCTGTAGGTCCACGCTGCTGGGAAAAGCCATGACATAAAATCTGTCTCTCCTCATTGTTGTCTCTGAGCTGGGTCAGTATTCATTGCAATTTGTTCTTGGCCCACTTTATGTTCCGCAACCTGAAGATATGGGGGAGAACATAATGGACAACCTGGGACTCAGAGAGGGAAGGGAAAGGGATAAAAAGGAGCTCTGAAAGAATATCAAAGGACTCCTGGAAGAGACCCTACAGTCAATTTATACATGAGGACACTAAAGCCCAGAGAGGAGGGGGGCCTTGCCCAAGGTCACACAGCTAGTCGGGGCAGAAGTAAAGTTCAAACCTAGGTCCTTTACATCCTGTACTGCCAACACCCCACTTCCCTGAAATGACCCAGCCTGCCAGGTGAGACTCTGTGGGCCTCATATTTTAACAAGAACCCCAATAAACCAGAGTATTCAGTTTTGTGGCCAAGAAGGCAAAAGGTCCGGAGACAACTTTGCAGAAGGAATAGCTGAAAAACTGAGGCTATGTGTCTTCACAAGAGCAGACTCAGGGGGCAATATGGTCCTTAGCTTCAAATATTGAGAGAAGAAACAAAAACAAGACCTGCTGGGAGGCCCCAGGGAAGCAGAACCAGGACCAGTAGGGGGAAGTTATAGGAAACAGATTTTAACTCGAAGAAAAACCTTTCAACACCTGGAGCTGTCCAGCAACGGAAGTGCCTGCCTCGAGGAGGAGGAATCCAAATAGATGGGCTGGAGCGAGGACCACAGACGGAAACCAGCGAGTCCATTCCTGCCTCCCTGGAACACTGGCTAGGTAAACTCAAAGATCCTTTCCAAACTGGAGGCCCTCTGGGAAGTCTGAAGGCAAGCAATGGGAGGGAAATGCTGAGACATGTCCGGACTCCGAAGGTGCTGTTTTCATCCCTGACATCAGCGGCAAGAGGGGTTTAAGTTAGACTGAGGGAGAAACCCCCACACATCTTCCCTTCCCCATTTGCATTAGAGGAAATGTGCTCTGCCCAGAGCCTGGCAAGAGGGAGGGCTGCACAGAGACCAGGGAGAACCTGAGGACTATAGGGCTGGAGCTGGAAGGGAGCATGGCCGTCACTGGATCCAACACCTTTGTTTTGAAGGCAGGTAAGCCACTGTCCACAAAGGCCATGTGACTCACCCATGTCGGTGGACTGGGGTTAGAACCGTGTCCTCCATTTCTGGCTCTGGAGCTCGGTGCCTTCCCCTGCACAGTAGCCCCGGCCCTCGGAGCTCCCTGCCTCCCCCCTTGTCACTTTGACCCGCTGGAGAGCAGAAGGGGTTGCTGGGCCCCTCTGCTCAGGGATCCCTCAGGGCCTGGGGGTGGGGGGACAGCCGCAGCTGTTCTGCTAGCTCCAAATTTCTTCAGATAATCAATTGGCCTCGGCTGCTGCTCTGCTCCACAGGACCAGGACTGGAGAAGCTGGAGGTGGGGAGGAGGAGGGGGAGGGGGCAGGGGGCTGGGCGCTGGGAGAGGGGACTGTCTGGGAGTCCCAAGTCCCCAGGCTGAGGACTGAGGGAAAGTGGGAGCTCCGGGCTAACACCCAGGGAGGGAGGGACAGAATGTCAGGAGAGGAGGCATCTGGGACCCTCGTTCTACGTCCTCCAAAACCCGTCAGGTGGGCCAGTGGACTGGGCAACCGGGAGGAGGCACCCGGCACGAGTGGGACTTGAGTACCTCACCCCCCCCTTTCCTCCTCCAGCCCCTTCTCACCCCTGCCAGCCCCTTCCAGCTGTCCATGCCCTCCTAGTTACGCAGGCCCTGACCCGCCAGCGCTCTGCCCCTTTCTCAGCAAAGCCCACCCCCGGTGGCAGAGCCCCCAGCAGGCCCCAGAGGCTTGAGAGTGGAGGGGAGGCTCTTAGCCACTCCTCCCGCCTTCACACACACTCACGCGCGCGCACACACACACACACTCACGTACACACACACACTCTGTGTAGGCTGCCAGGCGTCTGGCCCCTTTGTGCTGCACAATGGAGGCCCTGCCATGCCCCTTTCCAGGCTGGGCATGGGGCTTCCTCTCCCTCCTCTTCCTCACCTCCCTTCCTTCTCCATCCCCCACGCAGGGCCTGCCTGTGCCTCCTCTTCTGCCTCTAGCTGGACCTCCCCTCCCTCCATCTTTCTGCCTCTTGTTTGCTCACTTGCTTGCGTCCTTTCCTGAGCCCCCGAGGTCTGGGCGAAGCCTGTGTAGAGAAGAAAGAAGTGGACAGAAGGCCACAGTCCTTGAAGGCTGGTTCGGGGAGAGAAGAAGGAAACAAGCGGAGCGGGAGTGGGGGAGAAGCGAGGCAGTGTTGGGATGGAGGGGACAGAGAGCCCGCGGCTGGCAGCCAGAGGACCTGAGTCCAAGCTCCACGTTCACCTTCACTCGCGGCGCCGTAACAAGCAAACCACATGCGCTCCCTGGGTCTCAGGAGTAAGACCTGCCTCACAAGGGTGTTCTGAGCATGAAATGAGATCATCCCGGCAGGGCTCAGCATGAATGCCCACTAAATGGCACAGTAAGGGGCAGGTAGGAGCAGGGCCAACCTGCACTGTTGTACAGTCTGTGCACTGTACAAGGTGCCAGGCCAAGGCAGTGAAGGGGCCTGACATCTAACCAGAGCCACCGGTCATGCCGGTGGTGTCAGTGAGGGTGCAGCATCCCCCGACAGGGGGCCCTGGCGCCGACCCCTCGTGAGGTTCCCGGGCATGAACTTACAGGGGTCCAACCGAAAACTCAGAGTCCCGACAACCTTGGGAACCAAGACAGAGTGGGAGGGGACCGAGAGGCTATGGGGAGCCCCGAAGGGGAGGTCCCTTAGCTCCGTCTTCTCTGTAAAGTGGAGAAAAGCTGAACTATGAATTCTGCTACACCCATCAAGGAGACGCTGCAGCTGAGAAGGGGGCCGCTTAGAAGCAGGAGAGGAGGGAGAGCCTGGGGGGGTCGGTGGGTAGAGATGAGAACGCGGCGTGGGTGGAAGGACCTCTGGCTCTTGGTCCTCCTCCCGGGTCCGCACTTAGGCAA